CACAATCGACTTAGTGATCACAATAGGCTCGACCGGAACGAAAACATTCTAGAATATTCTGGAATTGATCAAAATGTATCAAATCAGAACACGTCATCCAACAGTTGCTATGGCAATCAAAACGGTCCAAAATGGACAAAACACGACCGGAACGAAAGCAAAACGAGCTCGCGTTTGTTTCAACGAGAAAACTACGAAAATTCAAAAATCAGTTTATCTCAAAGTTGTCAGCAAATATAGTCGGTTGAATCACTGGAATTAATTAGAAATCTATCAGATCACAAGAATAGCAAAAATAGAGAGATGAAATCAGGCGAAGCAGGGAAGAACGGAAAGGAGAAAAAGATGGGCAGGATTCAAGAGCGGAATAGCATAGATACATTGAGGGAAGAAGTAACGGGAACGACATTTCAAAGGACCAGGACGATCCAGCGTACTCCAACTAGATCAGATTCAGAAGGCTCGTCCTCAGACGAATTACCTCAAGTGGAATGGCAAGCCATGAACAGACAAATTCTGGCTAAAATCGGAAACAGCGGTCAGTCAACATCAACGGTCAGTCACCATCGCGGTCAGTCAACATCAACTGTTGCATCAGCTCAGCCAGCATTAGTTTCATTTTGGGAACTCATCGGAGCGTAGAGAAATGATAGCCCCAGATCAATTATAGAGTTGGAAGCCAAGTCGCTGATGCAGAGCCCGAAATCACTTGCGCAGAATACTTCAGGAGAGGAAGTAGGGATAGGACAAGTCATTGAAGTGGACTTAACTGCGGACATAATTGAGGACAGGGATTATAGGCCAGAAATTAGTGTGGTCACACCTCAACAGGCAAGGAGGGTTAGCCACAGATCTCGGAAGACCGAACATCAATTGACGGAGCAATTGAATGCAGAGAATGGCCCATTATCGCTCACAAAATTATTTGACAAAAGTCTGCTGGCGGAATTAGTATCAGAGGATTCTTGGATGGATCGACTCAGGAGAGTGGTGGAGCGGAATAACAGACAAGGATTCGAGCTGATGGGGCCTTACACTAATCCTCTGTGGCACCAGATGTCTATGGTGGATGACTGTCTGTTGGTGGATGACCGTTTAGCCGTACCAGATAAGTTGAGACAAGCGTTGCTTCGGCGACTACAGCAAGGACATCCCGGACAAGAAGCGATATTAGAGGTCTCCAACTATTTATGGTGGCCACACATGCACAAAGACATAGTCAACATGACCGAAGAGTGTCGAAGTTGCACCCGTTATGGTAAGAATACTAAATATATAATCCCGAAAAATTCGGCGAAACCACTTCCACTGTTGACACAGCCGGGACAAGAATTACAATCAGACTATGCGGGTCCACTTGAAGATCATAAGGGAAAGAAGATATTTTTATTGGTTGCTATTGATAGATACTCTAAGTTTCCATCAGTTGAGATCACGAAATCTACTGGGGGAAAATCAACAATGAAATTTCTTCGTACCTATATTGACACACAAGGGATTTCGGAGTCGACTAAAACGGATCGTTTTCCGGATTTAAAGAAAAAAACATTACACAAAAATTCTGTCCGATTGGTGACCATCGGAGATGCGGCTTGGTGGAACAAACAATCCATACCATTAAAAGAAGACTGGGTGTTATGCTGCTCGATGAAAACGTACAATCGATAAAACTGTGTTTAAGTACAATCATTAGGGATTTAAGATGGAATAAGCAGAAAACGATAAAGCGGTCACCATTTGAGGCGCATTTCGGTCGTTTACCCTAAACTGAATTTAAAATTGTGCGAGATAAAATCCTTAATGATTCTGGTCGTTTAGATAAACAGCACTTGGAAAGATCGGCGTTAACCGCCTCGCAGTTGAAGAGACGCACAGACCAATCGAGGGTTAATGTCAAAATCATCCGGAAAGGACAGAATAGTCGGCACGTCAGTCCACTGTTTCTGCCGAATACAGCACCAGCAAAAGAAAGAGCAAGAGCAAAGGAACTGAAGCAACTACTAGAGGCCAATGCGAGATGGAACGTCACTCGAAGGGACATTTCCGATAAAGAGCTAAGGCGAGTTGTAGACGAGACCAGCACGATAAATCCCGAACTCAGAAAAGAATTACTATATTCATAGGAACGAGGATTCATCGAAGACGAACAGTCTGCAGTGACTGACAATTGGTCAGGTAGTTTCCTCCGGAAACAGGAACAACGGAAAAGTGGAAAAGCCTTGACAATACCACTCAAAGAGAAAATTGTTTCGGAGACACCATCGACAGTAAAGACGGCTGCGAGTGCAGTTTACCGAAAGAGCGACATAGCAAAATCACGACTGCCTACACAGTCGAATGCAGAAGGATCGGCGAAAAAGAGAAGCCCAACGGGGGAAGAGCCGAGAAGCAAACAACAGAAAACAACAACAAAAGTAACTCAGTATGAAGACATCGATAGTGAGTCGGCCGAAGAACATGATATAAACGATCAGGGGCAAAGAGATCAAATAACAAACGAAGATAGTCGAATTGTCGATAAATTTCAAAACTCGCCGATCATCGTAACGTCGAAAGATACAGAGACGGGCGGTGGCCTTAACCTAGGAGGGAAGAGGAATAAGCCAAATCGAGCGGGGCCATTAGTTCATAATCCAAAAAGTGTTCAGAGCAAGTCCACAACACAAGAACCGCGGAAGGGAAAAGCTGCTAAAGCAGTAGTAAATGAACACAAGAAGCGTGACACGGAGAATACTGAGTTAACAGAGTCATCAAGTCCAAAGAAAGTACCATTGAGTGAACGTATCACACGCCAAACTAGCGAAAAGGAGATTCTGGATACATTCCAAAATGAAGACATGACACCTGACGAATGGGATGATATCACGGAGCAAGTCTTGACCAGAGGGGTGCAAAGAGAAGCGGAGCAAATACTGGTTCAACAGGCGGGACCAATTGATACTTGTCCTCCACCAGGCTTTTCTGACGAGTCGGACAAAGAAGAGGACACGACGACAGTCAGGCGGAGTACTAGACAAACTAAGAACCAAGGGCCAAAGATATATGGCAGCCCAGTATCTCATTCGGTAAAACTGATCGATTGTGAAGATGACATCACGGAGCTAAACCTGGCAGCCCTCGAGGCCTATAGGACGAGACTAGCGATTTTCCATCCTAATAACAAAGAATCAACGCTGGAAAACAACACGTTTGGCCTGTTATAGAGACATCTTTTCAAAAGGAGATTTGGGACTACATCATTGGACTCTTCAGGATCGTGGAATGCTGTGCGGAACAAGGCGGAATTGAAAAAGAAAAACAAAGGAAAATAACTCAAACCCAAACATTTAGTAAACTGAGATGAAAACTCATATATTTATTATAAAATTTTATATGTATTATATAAAATTTTGTTGTTCCGAGGGGAATGTGGTACTGTGTAGTACTGTTGCCACAGTAACCTTGGAGAAGTAAGCTTATTAATATTTTGTTATGTATTGGTATTATTATTCAAGGCCGAATCTGCAGGCCGAACGCAACAGTCATTTGGACAGTTGCCAACAAATAGAGACAAAAGAAACAATAGAACATGATCTCTAAAGAAAACCAAGATTGATAAAGAGTTTGAATTGAACGTTATAACTCTTCTGTTTTATTGTTACCTAAGACCACAGCATAGGAATATCACAGAGAGCTCGGGTGAAAATTTTGGTCGGACTTTGTTCGCTTTTTGTGCAAAACTTTTTGAGTCGGATTTACCCTAGGGTAGAAAGAAACTGTTGAATCAGCTAAGATCATAATCCAGTTAGTTTATAAAACTTTTGTTTGAAGTTCCAAATATAGTTATCAAAGAGAAACAATTAACAATCCGACTACTATTAAATTGCAAAGAAAACTTTTTGGTTGCTAAAAATGTGCGAAAATTTTTTTTTTTTTTCAATTTTTTGCTAAGTCTTAACACCCATTCGCTAAGTAAAAAATGAAAAGAGCCTGTGTGTCAAAACACCTCTCATTTTGATTGGATGTCTTTGATAAGAACAAAACTCGCATATGCTTAATTTCGAATTTTTCAGTATAAAGATACCCGGATTGAAGTCCCATCGTTAGTTATCGCTTTTTCTGTAATATCCCAGTGATCGCTATTTTCCAGCACTGATTCATGTATAAATCAAAATTTTGCATAGCTGAACCTGTGATTTTTCAGAGCTAATTCAGTAATGATTCCGTAGAAAATCAGCTCTAAAACTTAGGATGTTCTATCAAATGAGAGTGTGAGATGACAAACTCTATAATTTATGTATATCTAAAGGCTCGTGGCGCAGTGGTAGCATATATGTCCAATAACCTGATGGCTTTTTTCAGTTTTCAGCTTTGGACATCAATAGAATTTAAATTATACATTTTCTGCCCAAAAAACTAAGGTTCAATAAAAATTTGCATGCAGAAAAAAAATTGTAGCAAAATTTTTCCTAAATTTTTTTTTAAATTCGCAAAAATAAAGCCTACTGATAGCAGAGTAGAATTTTGAATTTCGCTCCAGAAAGGGTCATTAGAAGGCTTCAACAGAAAAACAAAAATTACCGACATAAAAAAACTGAAAACCTTGTTTGCCAAAAACGACTCACCCTTTCATCAAAAACTTCGTTTTTTTGGACGCTTTTGATGTACATATACAATTATTTTTGTTAAATGACAGAGATCTACGTTACAAAATCACCCCAATATTTTTAGTAAGGAGGAGGGCGATTGTTAAATATGTTAAGTTAGACGAAGTTTCGAGCAATCAGATTGCAGCGAAATTCGATTTTTAATTAAATACAGCGCTAATTTACTGCTTAAGGGTGGCGATTGTGTAAAATATCATTAAAAAATTAATACAAGCCTTAATAGCTAATTTTTTCTCGTTATTTTAATCAACTTTCTCTCACTGCGGTTGTAGCATTGGCTTTTATTATAGATGAGTATCATCAGTAATTCAGTTTTTGTCAGCGTGCACTTTTAAAACGGTATAACATAAAACTATTGGTTTTTATTTTTCTTATATTCTTTCAAGATCTGAACCGTTTATTATAAAATGAGAGCTAAACTTAAGCTAAAACGAATCGCTTTTTTGATATTTGTCTTTTTGTGCGGTTTGGCTTCAAAGTCGCTGCTGACATTCCCTACTGCGGAATCCCTATTCAACGTAAAAGGTGACGCAGAGCCAGGCAGAGATACCGCTGAAGCTGCAGAAAATTTTCAAAACGAGTAAAAACAGAAAACTCGACAAAAGTTTTCAGAGTCGAACAATTTTGTTGACAACAACGGAGCAAATTTTTTTGCCGCTGCGTACGATGATGTGTTTGTGAAACAGTTTTGTCTACATCAGTTCCAGCCAGTTCCCACAAAGCCTTCTGTTTGTATCTACAACCCCAAAGAGGACAAATACATCTCGGCTAGAGTCGCAGGCGGCCAAATCTGGGACACGACCGGTAAAATAATAATGAAATTATATACTTACACTGAGGGTTTCATCATTTTATTTTTGTCGTAAAGAAGGATGAAGCAAAATACAGTGCCTGTATCAAGTGTTGGAACAAATTATCGAATATTAAATTTTTTTCTTTCTATCTATGCTATAAAATTTTGAAAGGCGAGAGGAATTGAATTTGGACCATATATTTGTACCTGATTTGTACCTGACCACAGGAAATCTAGGACGAAAGCTAAAAATTTTGTTTTATTCTTTTCTAATAAGAAACTGATCATAAAGAGCCAAAAGATTTGACAAAGAAGTAACTAGATTTGCAACACCCCCCTCCGAGCCTGAAAAGGACGTTGTATCAAACTTGCACTATTACGGAACCCAGAAACTGAAGTTTTTGGCTGAAAAATTTTTGTCTGACAAGTGGAAACATTTTTCCTACTTTTTGTTAGCTTGGATTTTTGAAAAAAAAAAATTAATTTAGATGCTCGAGCAAGACTTCATTCCTAACTTGTGAGAAACTCATGCTCATAGAAAAAACAACTGAAGCTCGCTTAAGAATAGTTGGTCGCCTTGATGCGTTTTCTCGTATGAAAAAAAATCTTTATCGAGAGCCTTTGATTTTCAATACTGAGATAAATTTCCAAACTAAAGTAGATTCAAATTCGATTAATGAACGAGATTCAATATCAAATTTGTAAATAATTGCGATTCAAGTTCGAATAGAGAAGTAGAATCAAAAAACCCCGAAATAAAAGTCCCCCTTTTCCCAATTGGTTATTACCATTCGAGTTCAAGTTATTC